CCTGGACCTGGAGGCTTGCTTTCTCGCTTTCCCTTTCTCTCTCTCTCTGTCTCTGGTCAAAATTTAAAAATGATAATAACAACAAATGGAATTAAATAAATAAATAATTTTTTTTAAAAAGAAATTGTATTGCCTTTAAAATATATCCAACTTTTGGAATTAAAAAAAAACTGTCAGGCCCCACCTACAACTTGCAAAATCAGGATTTCTAGGAGTGGAACATGTGCATTTTGGGAAAACTCCCACATGATTCAGGTACAGCCAGGGCTGAAAACCATTAAACTAAGGAGGGGCCGGCAAGTGGCATGGTGGTTAAAGGCACTGGACTCCCACGTGGCTGACCCCACATGGCCGACCGCGGTTCAAGTCTCGGACGTGGTGGCTTGCTTTCTCACTTCCTCTTTCTTTCTCTGTGTCTCTCTGATAAAACTGGAAAATAATAATGATATAATAATAAATAAAGTTAAATATATTAAAGAAATAAAATCTCATGCCGGGTGCGTGTGCGCCAAGAGAAGAGTGGAGAAGGGACTGTGGTATGGCCATTCCCCTGGGGGGGAGATGATTTCTCACTTCCTGTCTCTCTGTCTCACCAATGAGCATAAGCTCCCTATAACAAAAATCTAAGGGACCAGCAGTTAGCGTAATGGCTATGTCGCTGGATTCCCATGTAGTCGACGGCGGTTTGCGTCCCAGACCCGGTGGCTTAAAACTCACGCTGGGTGCGTGTGCGTGCGTGCCCAAGATCCCAAGAGGAGAATGGAGAAGAAGGGATTGCGGCGTGACCATCCCCCCTGGGGGGTGATTTCTCGCTTTCTGTCTCTCTGTCTCTCTCTGTCTGTCTGGCAAGTGCACGCGCCCTATAGTGAAAATCTCTCAAAAACAAAAATAAAACAAAAACAAACAAAATCTATTAAAAAAATAAAATGTTGTTCACAAAGGAATCCTAGCATTCCTGGGGCTTAAAAAGCACCAGGCAGTGGGACCAGCAGTTAGTGTAATGGCTATGTCGTTGAACTCCCACGTAGCTGACCGCGGCTTGAATCCCGGACCCGGTGGCTTAAACTCACGGCAGGCGGTATGTGTGTGTGCCCAAGATCCTGAGAGGAGAATGGAGGAGCAGGGATTGCGGCATGGCCATCCCCCCGGGGGGTGATTTCTCACTTTCTGTCTCTCTGTCTCTCTCTGTCTGTCTCTGTCTTTCTGGCGAGCGCACACACCCTATAGCAAAAACCTCTCCAAAAAAAGAAACAAAAAAAAAGCACCAGGCAGTTTGTTCGACCTTTCTGAGCCTCAGTTTCCTCAGCTGTAAAATGGGGACGCAGATAGCCCCCACATCCTGGACTGGAGAGGATTCAGAGTCAGGGCTGTAATGCACTCAGCGTGGTGCCTAGCACAAGGGATACGTGAATGGTGGGGACCCTTATTTAATGACGTTACTGTGACAGCGGAAATACTCCCCCAACAGAAACGGGAGCAGCTCTGTGCTGTCCAAAGAGGCTCTACATTTTTAACCCTGCTGGGAGGTGAGAAACGCAGATGTTAATGGCTTCTCCCTAAGTGCCGTGTCATGGCATAAACATGCTCAGAAACACCCTGATTGCTTCTGGATGAAGTGATCGGGGAAGGCTTCAGAGAAGAGGTGGAAGACTAACCATCACAGTGCACACACCAGTTCAGGAGACAAATGGAGCCACCCATTTGGAAGGGAGGAATGAATGAATGGGTCAGCTCGAAACCTGTCTTCTCTCTCACACCAGCTCTCCCCCACCCTGTGCCTTTCCTTGTCTCTGTTTCTGGCAGCTTCAGCCATTGAGTCTCCAAAATCTGAGCACCCTGGTTTCCCTCTTTCAAAGCCTCGTCCAGCCTGCAGGTTCTGTCTTCACTATTTCCTAGACCACTATGCTGCAGAATTTAGCACCCTTCACCCCAGCACCATTCACCTGCTTCCCTTCCAAAACAGATGAACTCAATTCAAAGTCCCCTCCACCAGGAAGCCCTCCCAGACTACAAAGTGCTCCTAGCCTAGCTTTGTCAGTCTACACCAAGTTCCTGTCTCAGCTGAGCTTTGCTGCCTGGCAACCCCCACCCCACTCTGCACCCGGCTTCTGCCACCAACACCCCGAATAGATAAGAGTGAGAGCCGGGAGGCGTCCTCAAGCCCCCTCCTGGTTAGCCTCCTGGTCCCAGTCCCAGCACTCACGGCTCCTTCCCTAGCCCTGTCCATTGCGCCTAGGAAGCCGCCGCAGCAGCGCGCAGTGCCCGGGGAGCCGCAGTGCCCCATGG